TACGCTTTAAAATCTCGTTGGGAGAAGTGTATTGAAGCGAATGGAGCATACTTTGATTGAATAAACAGCTTTTGAAGAAAGATATGCAGTTTTATACAATCACTTAAGAATCCGACATTTCATACGCACCAACCTAATAACTAATCATTACCTTAAAGAAAAAATACGAAAATATTTCAAGAAATCAATTAATATTGCATCGAAACAAAAGAAAAAAATTATTATTCACAATGATTGCAGTTTATTAGAAGATGATTTTACAAAACTTGAAGAAGACAACTTCATTAATAAAGTGGCATTAATCTTGCGAAATGCTATTTTAAAAATAAAAAAATCGAAATTACCATCTAAAATTAAAACAAGCGACTTAATTTCTGGTGAATGTGTGATCCCTGACAAATTAGATCGATTTTTCAAAGTATTGGTTGGGGGTACAGATATTTGGCGCAGAGATAGTCTAAATTGTAATAGATTAAGTTTCTCAATAGCTGCTGATGCGATTTTTTGTGTAAGTAATGGTACAGTTAAACCATCCGAACACATCACTCTTGGTATGACTATAAAAAGTCTAACAGGTAGTAAGAAAAAAATAAATATTTTAAATAGATTTGGACATTGCTGTAATTATACCACTCTAGAGGAATTGGAAACTGAAGCAACAATCTCATCCGTTCATCAATCCCAAGTTTGTCCTTTAGACATTATTCTAAATCCCTCACTATGCACAGTTGTAGCCTTCAACAGTTTCGATAAATACGTTGACACCTTGAATGGAAAAGAAACTTTGGATGATACTGTGGGGATTATATACCAAAACATTGATAATAATTCCTATAGTGGAATGAATCAAGATGATAATGCAAATTCAGAAAATTTGTCACCACCACAAAAGAAAAGACGATCATTAAAAAAAATCACTCCTGATGATAAACCCTATGACAAGCGAATAAAGATGGTAGGTCGCTTAACACCAGTCCAAATCGATCAACCACCTCCACCCAAAAATCTCTCTTCATTACAAACAATTGATCTATTGCATTTGCTTTTACATGTTTTTCACTTGCCAAATACACAGTGGTAGCGTACACAATGGAACAAGCACAAAATGTTGGTAAAGAATGTGATCAAACTTATGTGCTAGTCACATATGACTTAGCAATTGCTAAAATAGCTTATAAAGTTCAAGCAACAGAAGGCCTTAAGTTTAGTAATCTTTTCATACATCTTGGCTCGTTTCATTTAATGATGG